TTAAGATTTCTGCCAATTGGAAGTGATTATTTCTTGATAATTTTGGAAGGGAGCGCCATTTCCTTTCCGAATTTTCTATTCCTTGTTTTTTGCTTTAATTGGCGAGTTTGGTGGTTGTACCATGGTGCTAGTTTCCTATGTTTTAATAATTTCCTTTTTATAGGAGCGATAGAATCTAATGTTGATCGTAGTGAGCCTGCAGCAACTATCAACAAGATTATCAATTTGGGAGGGACTAAAGTTATTATAGGACTATACACACTGTAATATACACACTGTAATACACACTGTAATATACACACTGTAATACACACTGTAATATACACACTGTAATACACACACTGTAATACACACACTGTAATACACACACACAAATGTGTTCTCATTAATCATGTGTCTCTTTGTCTGTCTCCCAGGAGCCATCTTGGATTTGGTTGTCATGGAAACCTGCCCTTCCACAGTGCTGGAGTTGGGGACGTACTGTGGTTACTCTACTGTACGCATCACCAGGTTGTTGCCCCTGGCAACAAAGCTGATTACTGTAGAGATGAACCCTGAGTATGCTCATGTGGCGCGACAGGTCATCCAACATGCAGGATTGCAGGACAAGGTCAGAGGTCACCATCGGCAGCAGGGTCAGAGGTCATAGGTCATAACCTGCAGCAGAGTCACAGGTCACCACCTGCAGCAAGGTCAGAGGTCATAGGTCACAACCTGCAGTAGGGTCAGAGGTAAAAGAAGAGACTGTGTAATCCCAGACAGGGGGTCTACTGTGGTCCCCCTGACTTCAGACCTTCTGCTGGACCGTTACCACAATGCAATGGGACAGCATCGCCATCAGGACAGGCGTTTAACAGACAGCTGGTCTGTCGTCTGATCAGGACCCTGATGATTTACAGCTGGGGAAAGTGTGTCATGGTCTTGGACGTCAGGGTGTTCAGGTTTAGCAGCAGCGCTCTCCATGGATTTTAAGAAGTCCACAATTCAAAAAGAATAATTTCATCTTAATTAGTTCATCCTGCAAGTCCATTGATAGTATATATATTTATTGAATTGAATTGAATTGAATATAATTAACAGAGCTTCCTGGCCTGAAAAGTGAAAGCAACATTCACATTCCTTTACAGCATTCTATGTAAAGGCCAGCAGGGGGAGCTCCATTGCCTGCAATAAAAAACTTTACCATTCACTCTAATGGAGAATGAGCCGGCTTCTCTCTTTATTAATTATCTCAGTAAATGAGAGATGAGTTTCTGGTCTTAGTCTCTAGTTTCAGTCTTCTTCCATACAGCATGGTGTTCATTTAATAACTGATGGTCCCATTTAGAGTAAAATAGGGCATACCCTGCCCTAAAGCTCATTCTCAGTGAGTCCGTCCAGCTCAACGCACCAAACTCAGATTAAACTGTC